TACAGAAATGCCTTTGATTTATGCGTGTTGATTTTATATCCTGCCACTTTGCTGAATTCATTTATTAGTTCTAGTAGTTTTTTTGTAGACCCTTTTGGGTCTTCTAGGTATGAATCATGTCATCTGCAAATAGTGATAATTTAAGTTCTTCCTTTCCTATTTTTATGCCTTTAATTTCTTTCGTCTGTCTAATTGCTCTGGCCAGTGTTTCGAGAACTATATTGAATAGAAGTGGTGATAGAGGGCATCCCTGTCTTGTCCCAGATTTTAGAGGGAATGCCTTCAATTTTTCTCCATTGAGAATGATGCTAGCCTGAGGCTTAGCATAGATAGCTTTTACAATGTCGAGGTAAGTTCCTGTTATCCCTAGTTTTTCTAATGTTTTGAACATAAAGGGATGCTGTACTTTGTCGAATGTTTTTTCTGCGTCTATTGAGATGATCATATGGTTCTTATTTTTAAGTCTATTGATGTGGTGAATAACATTTATTGATTTCCGTATATTGAACCATCCTTGCATCCCAGGGATGAATCCTACTTGATCATGGTGCGCAATTTTTTTGATGTGCCTTTGTATCCGATTCGCCAGAATTTTATTGAGGATTTTTGCATCTAGGTTCATCAGAGATATTGGTCTGTAGTTTTCTTTCTTTGAGGTGTCTTTATCTGGTTTCCGAATCAGGGTGATGTTGGCCTCATAGAATGAATTTGGCAGAGCTCCTTCTTTTTCTATTTCCTGAAATAACTTGAAAAGTATTGGTATTAATTCTTCCTTAAAGGTTTTGTAAAACTCCGCTGTATACCCATCCGGTCCTGGGCTTTTCTTGGTTGGAAGTCTTTTGATTACTTCTTCTATTTCATCTATAGTTATTGGTCTGTTTAAGTTGTGAGTATCCTCCTGACTCAGTCTGGGCAAATCATATGACTTAAGGAATTTATCGATGTCTTCACTATCTTCTATTTTATTGGAATATAGGTTTTCAAAATAATTTCTAATTGTCTTCTGTATTTCTGTAGTGTCTGTTGTGATATTGCCTTTTTCATCACGTATGTTAGTAATTTGAGTTCTCTCTCTTCTTCTCTTCGTTAGCATGGGGCTAAGGGTCTGTCGATCTTATTTATTTTTTCAAAGAACCAACTTTTAGTTTTGTTAATTTTTTCAATAGTTTCTCTTGTTTCAATTTCGTTGATTTCCGCTCTGATTTTAATTATTTCTTGCCTTCTGCTACATTTGCTGTTGTTTTGCTCTTCCTTTCTTGGGCTTTGAGATGAAGTGTGAGCTCATTTATTTGTTGGTTTTTCCTTTTTTTGAGGAATGACCTCCAAGTGATGAATTTCCCTCTTAAAACTGCTTTCATTGTGTCCCATAGATTCCGATATGTTGTGTATGTATTTTCATTTATCTCTAAGAATTTTTTGATTTCCTCCTTTATGTCTTCTGTAACCCATTGATCATTCAGTAACATATTGTTCATTTTCCATGTGATGTAGGATTTTTCCTTCCTTCTTTTATCATTGATTTCCAGTTTCATTCCATTATGATCAGATAAAATGCATGGTATTATCTCCACCCCTGTATATTTAATGAGGGTTGCCCTATGGCATAATATATGGTCTATTTTTGAGAAGGATCCATGTGCTGCTGAGAAAAAAGTATATCCACTTGATGATGGTTGATATATTCTATATATGTCAGTTAAGTCTAGGTTGTTGATTGTGATATTGAGTTCTATAGTTTCTTTATTCAGCTTTTGTTTGGAGGATCTGTCCAATTGTGAGAGAGGTGTGTTGAAGTCACCCATAATTATTGTGTTGTGGTCTATTTGATTCTTGAACTTGAGGAGAATTTGTTTTATGAACGTCGCAGCACCATTATTTGGTGCATAAATATTGATAATTGTTATGTCTTGTTGGTGAATGGTTCCTTTTAACAGTATATAGTGTCCTTCCTTATCCCTTTTGATTAATTTAGTCTTGAAGTCAATTTTATTCGATATGAGGATGGCCACCCCTGCTTGCTTACGAGGACCGTGTGCATGGTATATTTTTTCCCAACCTTTCACCTTCAGCCTGTGTATGTCTTTTCCAATCAGATGTGTCTCCTGGAGGCAGCATATTGTTGGATTTGTTTTTTTAATCCATGTTACCAGCCTATGTCGCTTTATTGGAGAGTTTAAGCCATTAACGTTTAGAGTTACTATTGATATATGGTTTGTACTTCCAGCCATGTTTGATTATTTATCTTCTTTTTTTTTTTAATTTAGTTTGTTTCTCCATGGTTAGCTTTCCCCCCGCCCTCTGTCTTTATAGAGGCACTTCCCACTGATGGTTTTGGTTATTGTTTTTCATTTCTTCCTCGTGTAGTGTTTTGCTCAAGATGCTTTGCAATGCTGGTTTTCTGGCTGAAAATTCTTTTAGCTTTTGTTTATCATGAAATATTTTTATTTCGTTGTCGTACCTGAAGTTTAATTTTGCTGGATACAGAATTCTTGGTTGGCATCCATTGTCTTTCAGTGTTTGAAATACGTTGTTCCAGGATCTTCTCGCTTTCAGCGTCTGTGATGAAAAATCCGTTGTTAACCTTATTGGTTTACCCCTGAATGTAATCTGCCTCCTTTCTCTTGTAGCTTTTAATATTTTCTCTTTGTTCTGTATATTGGATATCTTCATAACAATGTGTCTTGGCGTTGGTCTACTGTGATTTTGTGTGCTCGGTGTCCTGTATGCATCTACAATTTGTATATCCGTTTCCTTTTTTATTTCTGGAAAGTTCTAACATTAAATTGAATCATTCTAACTTTTCTGAAGTGTAATTTTAATCAGGAAATCTTGTGAGTTCTTTTTAAATCAATAAAATTATTTTAAATAGTTAACTAAATAAGTTAGCCTCTTCATTCATATTTATCCCTCTCGTTATATATTTTTTGTATTTGGACTACTGTTTTTCTGGTACTTTAGTCACTTCTCTATCATTTCTCAGGTTCTCAAGATTTATTGATAATTAATAATCCATATCCATTCTTTGTGTTTTAAATCTTTTGCTCTTTTCTTGCCTTTGTTTTATGTTCTTAATCTTCATTCATATATTTTAAAAATCAATGCTTTGATTTTAAGGCACAAGCTCTAGTTTGTTTTCATAAGAAAGACCAACAATATTGCCCAAACATAATAATATGATTTTCATATTTTGTGAAGTTTTGTCAAAATGGAAAACATGCATAAACTGTTTAATCCTTACCTATTTCTTGTAAATTTTTTAGTCTATGTGAACCATAGTTCTAAATTGTTCATATAAAAGAGGGGGCATGGAATTAGAAAGACAGTCGAATGAATTGGACACAATTTTCCTATGTTCATATTCCAATACACCATCAGTACAACCACAAGAAAGGGGTCTCCTATTAGAAAAAGTTATACTCCATGTATATATAATATGTCAAAATATACTTTATTGTCATGTATATCTAAAAAGAACAAATGAAAAATAGAATATATATGAACAATTGATTTCTAATTATTCCTAAACAAAAGGAAAAAACAGTAAATGAAGGGGAAAGAAATAAAAAGTTTGCAAAAAATTAATTATCTCCATCTGCCAACAGTAGTAGATGCTTATATATAGAAAAAGCCTGTTTTAAAAATTCTATATGCATACACACTATCATACACACACATGCACACATACACATGCACACAATGGAGAGTTTAACCAATAACTCACAAACTCCACAATTCTATGGAGCCACATAATTAAAAACTTAGAGCTTATTAATCCCAGAAGTATAAAAATAAAAGAGTCAGTATATGCATTTAACAAAGTAATCTCTTAAAAACACACAGGAAAGAGAATCTCCTCATGAGGATTTTTCCTTTTTTTGTTTAACTGCATCTGTCAAATGAACAATGTTATTCATGTCAAAATTTCCCCTGGGTGAATAATGCAGTTTCAGATTATCCATTGAGAAATTATATCTATTAAAGAGATAATTACATGAATTATTACATAAATGAAGAAATGTGTGTGGTAATAAGAGACTGAGAAGAATACAAAAGAACTTATATCAGCAACCACTTGTACAAAATCCTGTCTCCATTTTTAGTCAGCTTTTTTTTTTCTGCCCTGAACAAGAAGACCTGACAAAAATAATTAAAAGAGAAGTTTATTTTGAGGTTCATGGTTTCAGAGTGTTCAGTTCATAGATAGCCAACACCATTCCTTGTTACCTGAAATGAGACAGAACATCATGGTAGAAGTTGTGGTAGAGGAAAGCAGATGAGAACATGACACCAGGAAGCAGAGAAAGAGAAAGACAATTCTCTTCTCACCAAGGTCAAAACATGCCCCTAATGACCACCTCCTCCAGTCACACTCTCTCTGCCTACAGTTATAATCCAGTTAATTCCTATCAAAGGATTACTGCACCAATTAGGTGAAGGATCTTATAACCCAATGATTCCACCTTTAAGCTTTCTTGCCTTGTCTTATACATGAGATTTTGGAGGATACATTCCAGAACCATCCGAACAGTGAGTTCCAATTGAGGCCCCAAAGAAATTTTGAGAGATTTTAGTAAGGCATAAGAACGATTTTGTCTAAGGAACACCTGACTGATGTGGCCATCTAGATGGTGAAGTCATAGAACCTATACCTGTCTTTTCCCAATTATACACATTTTACTTTGACAAAATCTAAGTACCATGTGTCTACATATCATTATTAAGAATTCATTCTTGCCTATCTATGATGTAACTTCTTATATTGATTTAATAAACAGAGCTAATAATTGTGCCATATATTTCACATGTTAAATGTTAGTAAGATTCATCTCATAATGACTCCTTTGCTGAGAGACTCTACATATTAATATAAAATCTGACAAAATGACATAGAAAAATAGAAGACTTTTCTTAAACTGAGAGTTATTATACTTTGATTAGAATTGCTTACTTTTATATATATGAGAAACATATTCTGCATGTATATTGTAAATATCTTTCAGGTAGCTTAGCATCTATATTACAGAAGGTATTTCTATATTATAATATTGTATTAAGTTTGTAAGTGATGATAGTGAAACCTCAGAAGGAATTTCCACTGACTCTACTCTACTTTTTTTCCCTTTGTGAAGAAAAGACTTTGTACTATATAGACTTGTGATTTTATTACATTTCTTATTTAAATAAACATTTTTAAATTTCTAAAAAGAAGTAATTAATTTTATAATATTGACATTATAAATGATACAAACTAATATGTGTATAAATAGATATTTGCATTTTTGTGTGTATATATACACACCCCAAAATAACATATATAGCTACAGGATTTTCTCAAATACTTTTTATTTCTTTGGTATGCATTAATAGATCACTATCCTTTGATCAGAGAGTTTTTTGAAAAACTTGATGAAACTAAGAATAGTTCCCTCACAATAATTTACACACATAAGTAACACATTTGCATAAAATTTTCAAGAGATAATACACTTCATTAAGCAGATCCTTGATTTAGGCATAGCTGTAAGTAAAAGTGATTAAACAAGATATTTTCAAGTTCTTTCAGGATTTGGGGTGTAGCTAAGTGGTAAAACACATCCGTGGGTTCAATTCCCAGTACAAGCACGCACACGTGCACACACACGCAAGTGCACACACACACACTCCCCTCATATAGAACTTACAAAAGTTTACAACAAAAATACAAAATAAAAACCAACCAACCAATCAATAGATATGCAAATGAACTAAACAGACACTTCTCTGAAGAAGAAATGCAAATAGCCAAAAATATATGAAAAATTATTAAACATCCTTAGAAATCTAGGAAATGCAAATGAAAGCTCACCAAGTTTATATCACTCAAGTAAGTGTGGTAATCTTCAAAAATAAAGGTAAAAATAAAAGCTGGTGAGGATGTGAGAAAAAGTACACTTATAAATGTTGTTGGGACTACAAATTAGTACAGCTGCTTTGGAAAGCAATATGGAGATCCTTATAAGACTATGAGTGGACCCACCATATGACCCAACTATTGCACTTCTTGGTATTTATCTGAAAGAATGAAACAGAGCATACTATACTAATACATACATTCCAATGTTTATTATTTTTTATTCCACAGTTCACCATAGCCACGTTGTAGAACCAGTCTATCTAGGTGTCGCTCAACAGAGTAATCAATAAAGAAAGTATTATATATATATATATATATATATATATATATATATATATATATACACACACACACAAATATATATACACACATATATATGTGTATTATTACACTTATGCACACACACATACACATGAGGGAGTTTTATCAATACATAAAGTAGGATGGAATTATGTCATTTGCTAATAAATGGATGGAACAAGAGAACATAATACTGAGTGAAATAAGCAGATGCCAGGAAGTAAATAATTAAATGTTTTCTCTGATATGTGGAAGCTAGAGAAAATAGAAAGGGGAACAGTGGAGTAGAGGAAGGGGACAAGGGGAAGAGTAGAGGGAGGGGAAAAGGGAGGAAAAAGAGAATGAATTATCTAAACTATGTCATATGCTTGTATAAACAAATCATAATGAATTCTACATTTATGTATAACTATAATGAACTTATTAAAATAAATTCAAGAAGCATAATGGAATAACATTCTTGTTCCGGTTGAGCTGTACTTTGTGAAAATGATAGATAAGAGATGACAGCATGTAAAACACATAGGTCTAGGATACCTGAGTCTAAATCCTAGTTCTATCACTCATAAAGATGGTTAATATTTATTCAGAATGTACCATGGGTTGAGAATTGTGCTATGTGCTTTTGTGCTGACTTCTTTCTAGTTTCATAAAGCTGGGCAGTCATTTAACCTTTTTTCCTCATGAGGACTATGAAAAGTGGATGTTTTCCAAACTATACAGAAAGTGAAATGCATACAGCTGAAGATTTGCTCAAGGTCATTTGGAAACTGAGATGCGCTTTTCTGGTCTCTTTGACTATAAATTTTATTTGCTTTCAAATATAATTCAGTCATCTCTCATGCAAACAAACAAAAAACAAAACCAGAAAAGAAAAGAAACCCTCAGTTTATTTGAAATCCCTGTAATAATTACTGTGAAAATAAAGTAAAAAGTAAAGCATATATTCATAGAAAATTATACTGAGCCTGACTTTGAATTCTATACTATCATCCCATGTTGTAAAAACATTGCTCTTTCTCAATAATTTATTGTGTATTTTTAGTTACCTATATTTATAATAGTTACAAATACAATGATTCTTTAGTTTGTGACTTTTTTCTATTATAAATTAACAAATCAAGAATTGTTTTATTTATGCTTTAGTTAATATAGTTTAATAAGCACATCTAAGTCTTCATAGATTCTAGGCTTAGTGTGATTATCTATTAGTACCTTCTTTTTTTCTTTGTGCTCTTCTGAACTCACACAGACTACACTAAAATATGCAAACAAATAAACTAATAAAGAAAACTATGTTTTTACCCAGTATCTGGGAAGCTATGCTCTTTTAGTCTTTTGTGAACTAAACATATAATTACATATACTCCTGATCACACTCCTGAAACAGGCAACATAAACAAATAGAAACTATGGGAAAAACACTGCTAGTGGGGCAGTGACTGCCAGAGTAGCTGTCAGAGACACAGAAGTAAAACATGAATAATTCCCAGCAGACAAATGCACCCAAAGTCAGTGTCTGAGGTACCATGTTGAATAGTGTAGTCTCACCTACTTTTTTGAAACCCACATCATTTAACCCTTCAAATAGACTGTACATGTGAAAAGTTTGACAACACTGTGCATACTGAAGTCCATTGATAATGTTAAAAATTTTGAGAGCTTATACCAAAAATCAAGAAAATATATTAGCATTTATATATGTGTATATGAATCCTTATATATAGAAAATAAGTGGAATGAATTTTAAAATAAGAATAAATTATATTGCTTTCATAATTAAAGCAAATCAGCTGGGATAACTTTCAATGCAATCAAGGTCATGGCAGGCATGTAAATCTAAACCTCCTAATACAATCTCTATAAAACAATAAGGCAGAGAGAGAGAGAGAGAGAGAGAGAGAGAGAGAGAGCGCCAAAACTAGTAACACTGATGCTTTTGTCTTTTCCACATGTTGGTAATTCAAAGTTATTGTTGTTTTGTTTTCTGATTATGCTGCAGGTGAAGGATTTATACACTGGTTTACAATAATAAGAAAACTTCAAATCAAGTTATATACTAGAAATGTAGTATTAGAGCTAGGTTTTCTTCTTTGATCATTTTTCTAAGGTAATTAAAGATAATTATACTTGTTTTCATTAGAAATACTACATTTGGGGGAACAATGTGCTATAGCTCAATTTTCTCAAAGCCAAACTAGTATTGTGTGTATTTGTGAGTGTGTGTGTAAAATGAGAAGGGGAAAATAAAGTAATAAAATGCTAATATTTGTTGTTTCTTATATGTGTTTATTTAATTTTGTAAGCCAATTATAACAGTAATCCTTTAATTTAAGAGCTTATACAACTAATACTTTCTGAATCTAGGAAATCATAGCATGTCCAAACTGTTGGAAATAAAGTCATTCCTGCATTGTAAACAAATACAGAGACAGATGAGGTCTACAGTTTTAATAATAACATTTTAGCCACAGTGCATATGTAAATAACATTTGAAAAAAAATCCCTACTTACCTGTAATGTTTAAGAGTTCTTCCTTTTCGACTTGACATTCTTCCTTGAATTGAGCACAAAATAAAAATGAAAAAAAAAAAAACAAATTTTCAGTTTACTCTTACCCAACAAAGATTAGATTTCTATAAGCCATCAAATTTTTGCCACCAAAGGTTCAGATCATGAAACCAAATTCCTAAACTTGTTTTTATTCGTGGAAAATAACTTATTTTCTATAAACCTGATCACAAGAATATATGGATATATCCAGAGGAAACTGATAAAAAGAAGGGTGGGAAATTGAAGTTCTTTTGCTATATTAGAGTTGTTTTAAGCAATTAGGAAAGGACAAGGCTGGGTTTAACCTCTCCTTAAGAGGTGTCTTACCTGGTGGCAAAATTCACCTCTTTGTCATGATAATCCATTGATGATATGTGGCATACTTCTAAAATTGTTAAAAAGATAATTTTTAAAAAAACATAAAATCATGACTTCCTGGAAATATAAACTAAATATATGTTAAAGATATAACTGAACTCATTTATAATAATGAATCCAGTAACATTTTACTTATGGTTCAAAGGAGAATCCAAATACTCCCTCATAGAGAAAAAAAAAAAAGTTTTGATACCAGAAATGAATTTTCCATGGACCTGTTTCTCCATTTAATGATATTTTCACAATGCCATTTAAAATTCAAGGAATATCAGTGAAAATTAGATAAAAATAAATGAAAAAAGGTTTGAAATATTTGTGTAATGAATAATCATATATTTAATTTTTTAAAAATGTATGCTTATTATAATTTGAGTCTGAACAGTATATGAGTGCAGAAAATGATTATGATATAAATCAAAAGTGAATTTTATTTATCCTTGCCACAGGAACACAAAATTTTAATTCCTAAAATCTAACATGAAAGCCAACTTGAAATGACAAAGATGGTGTTTATGATGGAAACATGAAAACATTATTATTGCTTTTTTTTTTTCTTTTTTAGAGTCCTGCAAAGAGATGTAGTTGTTTGAGTGAAGAAGATAATCAGGAATATTTGTGTCTGTGCATTCCGAGATGTGCTGCCAAAAGGTGTCTGCAAAATACAACTGACTATGAAGAGAACAGGTGCCAACATGAAATCTTTTATAAAGATGAAGTCAATACATCCAGGTATTTATGTATTGTTTAAATGAAGAATATCTCCAATATTTGAAAAACTTATAATAAATCATTATTGAAGGATTTCATAATACTTTGTAGTCATCATTGTTTTGTTTACAATTTTGAATATGAATATCAAATATTTACATATCCATATATAACTGATATATACTGTTAAATTACAGAGTCATTATGTATAATAATGGTAGCATATACAAACACACACATACACAAAGGAAATGAAGATTGAATAGGTCTATACAGGTGAAACTTATCTATATCACTCTAAAAATAAGTTAATATAAATTTGTGGTATATTTTGATAAGCTACGATTTGTATGACAAGTTCTGGAATAACTACTAAGAATGTAATTCATAAAATATAGTAAAAGTAACATTAAAGAAATAAAAAAAATATTGCTCTAAAATGATGGTTTTAATCAATATCCTAAATTTACATAATAAAATATTAAAGGAAAAAAGAAAATAAAAGTAAAACAAGCAGAAGGAAGTAAATTATAAAGAGTAAAATAAATTTAAAAAAGAGCCCAGATAAGCAATGAAGAATATCAATGAGATCAAAATTTATCCTTTTATAGTAATAACAAAGTGAATAAAAATTTATCTACATGAGGAAAAATAAATCAGAATACTCACATTGCTGAAATCATGAATGAGAGACTATTATTAAATTATATGTCAAAACATGTTAAAATACTATGAAATGGGGAAATTTTCAGCAAATACAAATTACTGAGAATGATACAAAAATAAATTTAAAAATTGATTATATTTATAGCAATAAAACATTTGAATCAAGTAATTAAATAAGCAAGATTAATAAATAACCAGAACTATATGACTTTGTGGTGATATTCTAGCAAATATTTAAAGCAGAATTAATAGAAGTTATTTATAAACTTTCTAAAATAGAAGGAGGGAGGAAACAATGTAACCATCTATGATGCCAATAGTACAATGTTTCAATGAAACTGATAAGAATCTACCAACTAACATTTTATTAATCTAAAGCAAAGAACACTCAGCACAATGATAGCATTACATATACAAAGGTTTATATACTATGACCAAGTGGAATTTATCACAATAATGCAAAGTTGCTTGTACAACCTAAAATCTATTAATGTATTATGCCTTATCATGTAATTAAGGAAGAAAAGACAAGTGAATTGCACAATAGGTTTAAGAGATGCAGAAAACAAAACATTTGGCAAGATTTTACACCATTTCATCTTAAACACATTCAGTGGAACTTTTACAATATGATAAAGAATATTTAAAATGGGAAAGAAATAAAGCTAAATTATTATTATACTTAATGATGAAAGAATGAAAATGCAAGTAGATATACTTGCCATTTTACAACAAACAATATTGCTATAATTTTAAAAAAATAGGCAAAAGAAGTGTTGATTTTCAAAGCTATGGAGAAATAGAACTCACAGACTTCTGGTGAGGTAGTAACATGAATCCATGCTTTGGAAATACTCTGTCAGTTCCTCAAATGTTTAATCAGACTTGCCAGATGATCTAACTACTACACTTTTTATATACTCAAGAAAAACAAAAATAAATGGTAAAGCCTATTGTGAATGTTCATACAGTATTTTTAATTGTCTCAAGGTTCATCAAATTATAATATAGATAAATAAAATGTATTGTATCTATACAATGGGATATTATTCAGCAATGGGATATTATTCAGTGATAGAAAAGATTGGATTAGTGACTCATTGTGGATGAACCTTAAAAGAATATTGATAAGGGAAAGAATTATTTTTCCATCAAAATTAGTACAAAGGATATAGTCTGGCAGATTCAGTGGATATATGCACTTTTTTTTAAAAATAGCAATTACTCTCCATCAGTTAAAATATCAAAATTTATTACACAATGTGACATCAACTACTATACCGACAAAACACATAGAAATCTTAGAAATAACAAAATATGTTTAAGTTTTCTGTCATAAAACTCTATTATTATGTTCAGTTAAATTGACTAAAACAATTATTACCCAATTAATTCACACCATATATTACCAAAATTTAATTGAAGTTTGTTATATGAGCTAATAAACACATTCTAAAATCTAGAGAAAAAATAATGTCTTTTAAATCAATGTAATCTTTGAAAAAGAAGAGTAACCAGGTGGGACTTCATGTGCCATCTAGCATGATAGTCTACATATGAAGACTTTGTAAGAAAAACAGATGGGCCAAAGAGAGCTCTGAGAACACATAACATTTTACTTCTATAAATGAGACATTTGGCCATAATTTGATGTGAATTAACTGGGTTATTTAGTAAATGGTATTAAGGAAAGAGCTCAGTATGAGACCATAAATGAAAGTGGATTTCAACCTTTGACCTTATAGAATAGAAACAGACTCAAAATGTATTTATAGATTTGAAAGTAGAGTTACAAATTTTTATGTCACTGAAGAAATATAGAAAAAATGTATGGATTGGGATGAAGAACTTTTGTTTGTTTGTTTCTCAGAAATACAGAGATTTATTCAGAAAAGGTTATTCAGGAAAGGAGATTATGGGCTTTCTCAGGGAAGAGACATTTTGGGGGTAAAGCACAAAATATACATTCAAGTGAGAATCTGGGCCATTGCCAGAGAGAGAGTGCCAGAATAAAGAAATGTTTAAACTAAATTTACAGAGTACAACTTTAAATAAAAAATTATAGAATTGCTATAATATTAAATTAAAGGATTTCTTTCTAGTGAATGAATGAACACTACTCATAATGTTAACAGATACATAATGCATTAACATTTTTCTCTTGAAGCATAATTTATGTGAGTGCAGCGTAAAATGCACAATGTAAATAAAGTATTTCACACAGGACTATGTTTCTGCCCTAAAGTGTTTAAAAAACATTTTCTGAAAAAAATGGAAAACATTTAGTGAGAAAAAATAATTTAAATTAAAAAAAAAATTCCACCAGCTGTGTTGCCACTTGCAACTTTAGAACAGCTTTTGGTAAAGTATGCCATCATATGTTCTGAACATCAGGCCCAAAGCATGAAGTGTTCATGACTACAACTTCCTTTGAAGATACAAATTTATGCCTAAGTTGGCAATCCCTACTAGCTACCAAAACTATAGCATATTGAAAATATCAGTTCATACAATCATCAAATATTTATTAACAAGCCCACCCCAAATAGAAGATACTGCAAAAAGAAGATACTGACGCCTGATGAGGTAATTTTTATCCACAGGTAAATTTATATTCTCTTTAGATTACATATCATGTTGTTTCCATTTCATTCAGAAAGCAAAAATGCATTTTTAAAATACTAAGGTATGGGTCTGGGGATATAGCTCAGTTGGTAGAGAGCTTGCCTCACATGCATAAGGCCCTGGGTTCAATCCCCAGCATCACACACACACACACACACACAAAAACAAAAACAAAAACAAAAACAACACCTAAGGTCTATGTAATTTTTTTCTTTCTTTCTGAACATATAAGTAGTACATGTGGTAGCAATGTATTTTATGGACTTCTTTCTGAAAGCTAAATTAAGTGTTTCTCCTTTATAGGCTATTTTAGTAGCATCTGAATTTCTATGTAATGCTAAATATAACCAAAACATTATGTTTCAGTTATAAGCAAGAGTTCTATTTCAAAGTGTAAAATCTAAAAATCTTTCATGAGAAATCAGGTATAGTTTCAAAGTCTGTTTCTGTTGAGTCAGGAGGATTGTATAAATAGAAATTCATGTGAATTTGCTATAGAAATATATTTTGATCAAGGTTTTAAAAATTATTTCTGAACTAGGAATTCTAATAATTTTTAATAATTATTTATTCCTAAGACTTACGATTCCTGCCATGATGACAGTGATGTTTTATTTATGAGTTGACTTGCTTCCTTTGTATTTATTTTCAGTTTTGGATCTAACATAAATTTTTCTACCTACCAAACAAAAGTCATATGTACTTATATTTTACTTTTAAGAAACCACACCAAAACAATACAAAAAATAAATAAATAAAATGTGAACTATGGGAAGGTGGCCAGTGCCTCATATAGGGGTTTCTTCTTCCTACCAAGGAGGTTGTAAGCCACCAGAGAAATTAAAGTCTAGAATAATTAGTAAAGAACAAAAGACAAAGTCAGGAGAGATAGTTTTAAAAGGGGAGCTCCTGATAGGTCCAGCCCACATAGAAGCTGGAGCTGAACAATTAGAAAATGGCTCCCATGGTTTATTTAAGGGATTACATCAAAGGCAGGGGTAAGGTTTCAAGGATGGAGTATTGCTTCTGGAAGTCTTGCAGTCAGCAGGTTGGTTGACATCTTGGCAAGTCACCCTCATCTCCAGTGCGGTGTGGGACATGGCAGAGTCCAATAGAAATTCACAATGTCTCTGGGCAATAAACTAGAGGAAATGTCCACTGCAAGATCCCAGACACCAGGTTATCCTATTCATTAGGCTAGGTGGGTGCACAACACAGTCCATACACAGCCCATGGATGGCTCTCAACAGTAAACTGAACTCCATATGAAAATAATTTATTTTTTGTACAAGTGAATCTTTGTGCTTAATTCTGATACCTCTAAACTATGTTTTCTATCCTGGCTGGATTATTTTCTCTATTACACTTGCATGCACATATTTCTTTTTCCTCTTTATCATGCCCTGGAAAAGCAAATAACTTTTCTGCCTTAAATTTTACTGTAAAATGATATGGAGGTCATTACTTAATTAATTTAAGCAATTTAAAAGTAGATACCACTATATTATCCATATGCATGCCAAAACTAATTATAATAAGCTTCATTAAATGAAGCACTTTTGTATAATTAAGTTTCATCTATGGTATGAGTTGAAGCTTAGCTCATGTATTCACAATTATCCCTCATGTATTTTTTTTTCCTGTTAGGTGCAAACCAATACTTAACTTATGCATTTAAATCATAGTTTGCCAACATTATAGCTCCATATTCTATGACTTTTCAAGATTTT